CAGAATTTACAAGTAACTTAAACAAATTTACAAGAAAAAAACAAACAACCGTATCAAAAAGTGTGCAAAGTATATGAACAGACACTTCTCAAAGGAAGACATTTATGTGTCCAACAAACATGAAAATAAGCTCAACATCACCGATCATTAGAGAAATGCAAATCAAAATCACAATGGAGTACCATCTCACCCTAGTCAGAATGGTGATTATTAAAAAGTCAAGAAACAACAAATGTTGGCAAAGCTGGGAAGAAATAGGAATGCTTTTATATTGCTAGTGGGAGTATAAATTAGTTCAACCATTGTGGAACGCAGTATGGCAATTACTCAAATATCTAGAACCAGAAATACCATCTGACTCGGCAATTCCATTACTGAATATATATCCAAAGGAATGTAAATCATTCTATTATAAACATACATGCACACGTATGTTTACTGCGGCACTATTCACAATAGCAAAGACATGGAACCAACCCAAATGTCCATTAATGATAGACTGGATAAAGAAAATGTGGTACATATACACCATGGAATACTATGCAGCCACAAAACGGAATGAGATTATTTCCTCTGCAGGGACATGGATCAAGCTGGAAGCCATCATCTTCAGGAAACTAACACAAGAGCATCGAAAACCAAACACCACATGTTCTCACTTGTAAGTGGGAGTTGAACAATGAGAACACATGGACACAGGGAGGGGAACACCACACACACTGGGGCCTGTTAGTGGGGGGTCAAGGGGAAGGAGAACATCAGGACAAATAGCTAATGCATGTGGGGCTTAAAACCTAGGTGATGGGTTGGTGGGTGCAGGAAACCACCATGGCGCACATATACCTATGTAACAAACCTGCACATCCTGTACATACATCCTGGTACTTAAAGTAAAAAAATAAAAATAAATTTAAAAAGAAAAATAAATTCTCTCAAAAGAAATTAGTGAGCACCTGGATTACTTCATTTAAACAAACCAAAATGCCTTTGAAAAAATTATTATTAGCTCTATTTTACAAATGAGGAGATCTGTAAAATTCAGCAGGGTTATATAGCTTGTCCAATGTCACAGAAACCCAAGCAGGTATGGGACTAGACCTGGGTCCATTTGACTCAAAATCTCATGATTTGTTCAAGATACCACCCTATATTGCCTAGTTGCCCCCTGCAGTTTCTGTGGGTTTAACAAAAGCAAGGGCTATACAAAGAACTGTTTTGTTTCCTTTATAAAACATTGGCTAAAAGAATTACTGATAACTTACATTACTCAGCATTTTGCTCATAAGATTCCGGAAGCCAAATTTTCTATGAGATTCCAGTGCCAAAAGAAGTTACTTTCCTCAAAAGAAAACTCAACCATTTGTTCACTTGTGCTAAAAAGTGTGATGGAGACAAACATGGATCCATATGGCCCCTACTCTAAAGTAGTTGTAAGGGCCAGACGTGATGGGCTCACGTCTGTAATCCCAGCACTGTGGAAGGCCAAAGCAGGAGGATCACTTGAGTCCAGGAGTTCAAGATCAGCCTGGGCAACATAGTGAAACCCCATCTCTACAAAAAATTTAAATATTAGCTGGGCATGGTGGCTCACAACTTAGCCTTATCTACTGGGAGACTGAGGCAGGAGGATGACTTGAGCCCATGAGGTGGAAGTTATGGTAAGCTGTGATCGTGCCATTGTGCTCCAACCTGAGCAACAGAGCAAGACCCCTCCTCTAAAAACAAACAACAAATTTTACAGACATAATACAATGTATATTTAAATAACCATGACTTAAGGTTAAAAAGTAATGTGCTTCTCTTTAAATAATTAAACAATTAAAACAACTCATTAGATTTCCCCTTGCTTTAACTGCCAAAGATAAGAGTTAAATTTAATATCTAAGTGCAATAATCATTGCACTTTAGGTTCCTAGGGAGGTAACTTTACTTGATTGTTTACTCTTTGACTTTATCTTCAGCTGTCCTGTTGTACATGCATGTTATCCCAATATATCTCAAATCTTTTTGTGGAAGCAGACAAGGTACATAATAGAAACAGGCAAATAAAAAGGTTTGGATTAATAATACAAAATGAATACAAATAATGTAAATTTTGTATTGCATGCTGTGCTATCTTTATCTTTATGCATTATATCAGAGACATTCTGAGTTGCTTAGATGATCAAATGCGGCAGTATGCTAAATGTACTCTAAAAACTGGGATTCAAGAAACACTTGTGAATAGAAGCCCTGTTTCTATTCTCTATTTTCCACAGACATTATACAAGCTCTTAAAACCTACATTGGATTTATATTTAGGATGTTTAAGTTGGGAAAATAGGGTATAGCTGGGTAAATGGTGTTTTCAAAAGCTAGTGCAATGCAGACAGTGTGAGTTTTGTATAGCTTCTTTGTTTCTATAGCTTTGGGGGGAGGTGGTAAAGAGCACTAGATTAACAAAAGTGGTGGCTTAGAAGCCCTACCATTACTCTGCCCTTTTCACATCCTGTGCATGGTAATTTGCTAGTGCCTCTGCAATGATATCTGCCACATCTTTAAATGTCCTATGATGCATGTCATTGGGCCCTGCTGATTTAAACACATTCACTTCTTAAAGTAACTCTGGACAACTGGATTCTCCAGTCAGATTTTGCTTCCTTCCCACCCATTCAGATTTTCTAGACAAAAAGTTATCTTGTATTTTTGATGAATATAAATAAAACAGCACAAAAAGCCTTTTAAATAAATATATCGTTACCCTTCTCCTTAAGAAAGCTCTAATGTTTTTGTTTTCTAATATTTGCAATAAAACAGCTCATTAGCTGTATAAGGAGGATCTGTTCTCCAGATATAGAAAACTAGAATATTATACTGACAATAAAAGAAGAAAAGAAGGAGAAGGTGGAAGGGCACAGATACATACTACTTTTTGTTTCTTTCTCTCTTTGATACAAAAACAATATGGTGTTAAAAAGACAATGGATAGAACTGGCCTTTTCAAATCACTAACAAGCTGTTAAGACCTGAACAAGTAAATCTCCATGGATCATTTTTTGACCTATAAAATAAAGAAATTAAACTAGATTCTCACTAATAGCCTCTTCATTTAAAAAATTCATGACTTCAAAACAAAAGTTACAAGAGAATGCAATGATACCCTTGTCTCCCATAGCCCCTGCTGCACATGAGAGCTTCTACCCATTAGTGCTCTCCTCTACTGTCCTTCCCTCACACTTAAAAGTAAAATTTATATTCACAATCTTACTAAGATTAATTCACACAAAATGTGATGAAGACTTAATGCAAAAGTCTTAATACAAAAATGAGGCCTGAATACAGCCAGGAGTTTTATCTTTCATTTTTGCATTTGTTTTTACTTTTTTAATGATACACAGTGAAGAATGAAAAAAGGAAGAGAGCTGAAAGATAATTAAAGGAAGTGAATATGGAGAAGAAAGCAGAAAAATATAACAGAGAGGAAATTAGAAAAACAAAATGACAGAAAAAACACAAAGGATTAAGAATAGGAAGTAAGAATAAAAGAATGTGTAACCCAATCAAGAGAGAGAATATAAAGCATTTATAATAATGGTGGGGCACAAATGGGAAGGCAGAAATGGGAGCACAGTGAGTTAAGAAAAAGAAACAGTAGGGCTCAGCACAGTGACTCACGCCTGTAATCCGAGCACTTTGGGAGGCCAAGGCAGACGAATTGCCTGAGGTCAGGAGTTCAAGACCAACCTGACCAACATGGTGAAACCCCATCTGTACTAAAAATACAAAAAATTGGCCGGGCGCGGTGGCTCAAGCCTGTAATCCCAGTACTTTGGGAGGCCGAGGCGGGTGGATCATGAGGTCAACAGATCAAGACCATCCTGGTCAACATGGTGAAACCCCGTCTCTACAAAAGATACAAAAAATTAGCTGGGCATGGTGGCGCGTGCCTGTAATCCCAGCTACTCGGGAGGCTGAGGCAGGAGAATTGCCTGAACCCAGTAGGCGGAAGTTGCGGTGAGCCGAGATCGCCATTGCACTCCAGCCTGGGTAACAAGAGCGAAACTCCGTCTCAAAAAAAAAAATACAAAAAATTATATGGGCATGGTGGCAGGCGCCTGTAATCCCAGCTACTTGGGAGGCTGAGGCAGAAGAATCGTCCGAACCCAGGAAGCGGAGGTTAGAGTGAGCCAAGATCGCGACATTGCACTCCAGCCTAGGCAACAAGAGTGAAACTCCGTCTCAAAAAAAAAAAAAGGAATGAAAAGAGAAGAGAAAGAAATAAAAGAAACATTAGAAACCAAGAATGACAGAAGAGCAAAGACAAGAATTCCAGAAATCAGAGCAAGCTAGGCTACAAACTAGCAGTTTGTGTCTTTTTCTTTTGCTGTTTGTTCTTTTAAACAAGAAAACAAAGTGGCGAGATAACATGATGAAAAATAGTATCATCTGTAGCATGTTTTCATTAGTCATTTAAAGTGCTAGGCAAACAGAACCCAAAGAAGAGAATACAGGTGGTGAGGGTGTGGCAAATGTGACAGAAAAAGGAAGCAAAAGAAAATGAGCTCCGTGGGTAGATTAAGAGATACAGGTGGTAGATAGTTTGTTTCAGACTACTTTATATACATTGGGCAAAAGAATTTCAAAGAGCAAGGAAAATATGACAAACATACCAAAGGTCAATCATCAATTAATTCAATGCAAAAAACTTACTGAACATGTCTTTGCTGCCTCCTCCTCCACTCTACCACCTATCCTATCTAACCAAGCCCAGGTTTTACTCAGTTCTCTCTTACTCAACTTTCAAATGTATCTCCTCCTCCACCTCTTTCCTAAGATACTGTAGTAGACACTGCGGGGTATATACAAGTTTGAGGGAGCAAGCTCTATCATTAAGACCTCCCAATTGAACAGATGAGGCAAACACAATATTATAAAATATTCCTTCCATAAGTATGCCAACTGAATTCTTTCTCTTTTGTCACCAAACACTTACCACTTTGTATTATCTTAATTCCTCATAGACTCTAGATCTTGGAAATGAGGAAGACTAAAATGGACAGACATGGGAGCACTCCACGGCAAAAGAGAGCATAAAGTGGATTCCGAGGAAGGGATATTAGCAAGTTGTTCTGTGACAAAGAGAAGATGTGATCAGCTGTACAAATGAAGACAGAGACCACTAAGCTGATACACTAAGTTTGATATAAAATGTAATTACCATTAAAACTTCTTTTGAGGCATGATCAAATCTTTAGTTTACAAAGATTACTCTGGTTATAGCATTCTGGGAGAAAATAAAATGATTCAGTCTGAGAAAGACTCCACAGAACAAGTGATATTTTAGCTAGGTCTCATAGGATGAATAGAAGTTTTTTTGAGGAAGGGCTCTACAGAATGATAAAATAAAATGAAAAAAGGTACAAAAACGTTAACAGGGCACCACAGATTCTGGGACAAGTAAGAGGGCGAGAGTGACTGGATAACAGGTTATTTAGAGGAAAGAGATCTCAGATTGGAATGGCAGGCTTAGGCTTTTTTTTAAGAGGAACACTACAGTTTCCCATTTGATTATAAATTTTATCATTTTATAAGATTGGAACTCCCCCTTATTCCTTATAGAGTCATAACATCAAGTGGTGGGTGATTCAACAATTATTCATGATGGCAGTGCCAACATCCTTGCTCATATATTAAATGAGACACTGCTTTAGGCAGATAAAGTATCCACAATTTCACATCATAACATATGGCCAGATAGACAACCATTTATAGTTGTCACTTGCCCAGATCTTACAGATTTCAGGAACTTTTTCTAAACAAAACATCAAATCCAGAATAGTGCAATTGCTGTTTTGACTTTTGAAACAGAGAGAACTACTCCATAAAAAATAAAAGCCAGAATATTCATTTACAAAATGGATGATTGTTCTACATTCTTATATTAGATCAAATAACTGAATTTTTCTGGGTACTGCACACTTAAGGACAAATCTACATCTCTGAAATCATAACACTGAGACTGGCATTTTCATTCCCCCCACACACACAAAAAAGGTTCACTGTGCCTTTCTTTTCGGACTGCACCCCATCACTCATCACAAGCAAGCATCAAGTGCTTTATATAACAACATTTTCAATAAATGTGAAGTCATTTCTTATACTTTGTTATAACTTTCTGTGTCTTTGACATATTCAAGAAGTGAAACTCATGCATAGCATGTTTATATTATTCCCTCCTTAGCAAAAGCTCACAGACAATGTCAGGTCTGAAGAGATAAGAGCTGCTTCCAGGACATGAATTCTCATGAGGATTAGGCAACCACCATCTGGGGCTCCAGAGTTTATCTGTAGCAGCTGCCTTCAAAGTATCATACTAGAGGTTGGGGGCATGGGGGAAGTCTAATTCTAAAGTGTTTAACAAGTTCCTCTACCTTGGCTTTGATTATCATTCTGGATTGTTTTTCTGACTTATAAAAATAAAACATAGTGACTTTTTCTTCATAACACACAAGTAATTTAAAAGAGCACTAGGTATTCAAATGATAAACTCAACATGCACTCAAATGTTTAACATATAAATTTTAATCATTTCAATAATTATTAAAATACCATCCAATACCTAATGTTGTCATTAATACAAGCTTTATCCTTCACACACAAAAATATATCTCCCAAGTTTTAAAATTTCTACTTAGAAGACTATAGATTAAAACAATATCCTAGATATTTTGTGAGGGTTTTTAAAATGTCCTCAAATGACATTAAAATAACACTAAATTTTATTAAACAGAAAGCTTTTTAATCAAATATTTATATAAAAAACAGGAAATCCAAAAATGAACACTGGAGCAAGAAGTTAATTTTAAATTCACAGATTTAAATAATAATCTGCTAAATCTGATTACATTAACTTATATAGGGCTAAAAATGGTCACTATGAAACAAAGCTAGATAGCAAAGAAAAACAAAATAGAAAAATAAAACAAAATATTCTCTATAAAGAATAGGTTCTACTGTAAGTAGTCCCAAAATTGCTGCACCACTAAAAACAATGTCTTTTTCTTTGCATCTCCTTCCATTTCAAATATTCTTCTTTTACCTGCCATAAAAATCCACTTTTATTTGTTCATTTGAAAAACCTGTAACAAAGGACTTACTATCAAAATTAAGTAGACACAATTATTGTTAGTTCCATCAGAGATATGGCAAAATGACTGCATCTATAAAGTTTCACTATAATAAACAGCTTTGTGACGAAGAACGGTTCACTCTTTCATTGTTCATTCAAAATACATAGCAAGCCTATTTCTGTACTGGAAAGAGTAACCCAGAGAAACAAAAGGCAGAAGTTTGACTGTGCGAAAATCATAAAACTGGTGGATTATTTGATTTCTGGGATTTTCATTCCATGTCCAAAAAATTACATATTATTTCTATATTTGGATTTGACACAAACATTCTAGACTTATTTTTTGAAGTACCATCATAATTCCTTCACCAAAATCAAAAATAGAAAATTCAAACTCTATACATCTAAAACTAAACTGGACTGGGCCCTTCCTTTCAACTTCCCTATTGCTATCAGTGGTTGAATTATTTTTAAAATCACACAAACTTACAATCTCTCTTCTCTCCATTAACATTTTTAACAAGTCATTAAGTTCTGGTGACTAATTTCAAAATTATTTTGGCAATATTTTATTTACTTACACTAGTACCATTACCAACCTAGTATAAGTTGCTCCTCAAACTTTAGACTAAATTACTAGTTTTGTAGGTAGTGTCTCTTCCAGCTGATTCATATTAAATCACTACCACATTAAGTTATAATAAGTCTTTACTACATTAAATATGCCTCCCAAAACAATTTGCTCAAACTGTTCTCCCTATCTATTCTTCTAGTTTACAATGCCTTTCCTTTTCCTCCACATATTCAAATTCTCCCTTAACCAGATTCTCCAGGATTCACAAGCAATTGTTTCCTTTTCCATGCCACATTTCATATTCACCCCAGGATAGTCATCTTCCCCCTCATTAAACCGCCACATTAGAGGCAAAACAGACTGGTTTGCATGATCACATCACAAACATGGCTTATGAGTGGTATTTTTCATATATCTAAAGGAGATAAGAAGAGAATAAACAAAAAGACCTTATTTTGTAGTTTATTCTGCAACATTCCGAGTGGCAAATTAAATACCAAATTTTTGTTTAATAAATTTATCAAATATATGGTTTAGGCATTTAGGTGTGCAAAGGGACACACTTACAAGGAATCTGCTGTTATAAAAAATCTGGCCGGGCGCAGTGGCTCACGCCTGTAATCCCAGCACTTTGGGAGGCTGAGGTGGGCAGATCTCTTGAGGTCAGGAGTTCGACACCAGCCTGGCCAACATGGTGAAACCCCATCTTCACTAAAAATACAAAACTAACCAGGTGTGGTGGTGCACACCTGTAATCCTAGCTACCAGGGAGGCTGAGGCATAAAAATCGCTTGAACCTGGGATGTGGAGGTTATAATAAACCAAGCTCAGGCCAATGTACTCCAGCCTGGTCAACAGAGTGAGATCCCATCTCAAAAAAAAAAAAAAAAAAGAGAGAGAGAGAATTCAAGAAATCTGAGTTCTTGTTCTTCTATACTCAAGTCAGAGTAGGCAGTGACAATGATTTCAACAACATACAAGGACATCCTTTGGATAGAGAATTTGTATATATAATAACTGTTTGTAATATAATATCGGCTATTCTTCTATAAACAGGATTTTTCTCTTAAATTCATTCTATTTGCTAGAGATTCAATTTGTTACCCAAGCTGTGGATTTATGGGATTTACATCCTTAAAATGAATTCCAGCATAATTTCACACAGAAGCCTTCTTGAAGTTAACCAGGACACCACCCAAATAAATCTTCCCTTTAAAAAGAATAAATGCTCCATAAAAATCATCAATACATCATTTAAGCTTAAGGTTGCACAATATCTGTGCAACATCAAGCCCTACCCCAATCCTCCAAATGCCTCTAGAGTCTGTATTAATGCCACACACTCTCTATTACCTATTCAGACATGTTTTCCCAGTACCATTACTCCAAATAATTCCATTCCCTACACTAAATCCACTGTTTCATCCTGCTTGACTCTCTACCTATATCATCTAAGAGTCTTGCTCTTGAGTTGCAAGGCTGTTGCTACTTAACTCTACATTGACCTACCACTTACTATGTATAAGTAAACTCTAAAGTCTCTTATAGGACCTCTGCATTCTCTCTTAAATCACAGCGGAATCAAGTACTCCAATTTGAGTTTTAACCATTATCTAATTTTCTGTTAAAAATACTAACTCAAAAAGAGAATTACTCTTTAATATACTGAAAGGCCACTATCATAGCATAGCAGGTATCCAATTTTTTAGGGCCTATTTTCAATATATCCACATTTATATAAAAACTTCACCCTAAGTATAAGATTAGTCAGAGTACTTAATTGTGTGGGATAGGAAAGTTAAGTGCCAGAGAGGAGTTCAAAGAATATTAGCAACGTCTGGGTTTCAGTGTAAGCCTGAAAATCATAATGAAAACGCTGTAAGAGGGAAAGGGGCTAGGGGTTCAAATAATAATTTTGAAGACGAGGGTATTGGGTTACAAGGGTCACACAGGCCAAGCTTCATGGAAGAGATGAGATTTCAGGTGACTGATGGATTTGCACTGACTAGGAAAGAGGGAGAAAGAAATTCCTAAAGGCAGATAAATTTTTACTTAGTAGATATATGCCCAGCTTTTGTCCTAAGAGCAGGCCAGGATTACAACCTCATTTCTTGCTGAGGATAGACACTGCATATAAACTGCATTAATTGGTGGTAGCTCATATAAAATTGTATATAAAACAACAGAAAATTCAACAACATAAACAGGCAATGATAAACACAATTTTTTTTTTAAATCGCTACTAGATTTTTATCCAGGCTGTAGACCCTGGCAGACCATAGTACAGTGGCAGGCAACTTATATCCCTTGGAAAATTTCCTTTCGTGCAATCATTTAAACAATTTTAAAGAATGCTTTACATAAAATATGGGATTATCATTGGTCTTAGACAGAAATAAGACTTTCTGAACATCTTTCTTTGGCCTGATGGATGTCAAAATGCAGTAAAATTTTCTACTGTAGGAGAATTTTAGTTAATAAAAATAAATTTATTACAATGTCTGATTTACACAGTACAAAAGTGTACTAATAACCTAAGAATTTTTTAAAGCTACAACCCTTCTGAAGCCACCGTAATCATTTGCTTATTAAAACACTTTTTCTGTTAAAATGTCAGTTATTGATTTTTTTTAAATTTCAGCAATACAAAGATGTAGCTTTCAATTCATGTTCAAACATAAAATAACTGAATTGAAAAAGAATTTCACTTTCATTGATATCAAGTCAATGGCTCATTATTCAAAAGCATATGTTCATCAATAAAAATAAACTTTCATTTCTATTTGAGGTTACAATCCTAAAATAGCCCCAAAGTTGCACCACAATTCAGCTGCTATGGAAAAGCTAAGTAGAGCTTCCCATGACTAAATGGATTAATTCTTTAGCCCAAACACAATTACTGTTCTCCACACTGTTCCATTGAACATCTAAATAAGCATCCCAAAGCTTATTTCATTCAAAGAAAAGATCCAGACTAAGGAATAATCCCAATG